ACTGGCTTCACACACGGAAAAAGAATTCCTGTGCGGGACTGCTGCTCCATCCAGCAGCTGGGATGCATTCGGCACAGTCCAATGCCTGGAGGCTGGATTTAGACAGCCCCAGCCTTGAAATAAGAGCCGCTAACTGCCGGGCTATTTAGATACCGAGAGAGAGTTCACCGGAGAGGTGATGGACTCACGGCTACCTCAAAGTGAAACCGGAGAGCTTTTCAAAATGTGCTGAAATGAGGCTTTTGGGTAAAATACTCCAGCGTGCACGTGTGTAAGGGGCAAAATGAGAGGCAGCTGCAGCTCCTGGGAGCAGGGTACAGGAATAACAACAGCTCCTCAGCACCCTTAGCTTCCCATCCACCCTGCCCTGAAGATCAGGATCTGTCAGGAAGGTAGAGCCCTTCCTGGGCCTTTTGTCCTTCCTCCACCAGGTCATAAGTTAGCCTGTCTGCTCCCCATTACTGCACAGGTTTGGGGCACAGGGATGCTTTGGTCTGTGTTACTCCTTCCTCTCCACGTGCAAGACTTCAGCATCTTGAGGAGTGAAACAGTTGTGCTGAACTCAGAGAGCTCAAGAAAGGACGAAACGGAACAATGACCATGACACTCAGGCACAAGTGAGAAAAGCATCCCCCAGAGATGCCTGGCCCAGAAAATGTCCTTTCCACCTCACCAGAACGGTGAAAATCTTTATGTAAGGTGTAAATGCATGTTCAGTGTAGGTCCATCTCCTCTCYCCTTTCCTCACTTTGTGACCTGAACAGCAACTGATGAAACTTGGAGGTTTTATAACTCAAGCCCTTGCAACAGGTCTTGCGAAAGATCCAGAAGAGGGATTAATATGTATGTTAGCCCCTGAGTAAATTCCCTGTGACAGCTACAAGTTTCACACCACTGCAGAGCTCTTGAGGTCCAAGCTCTAGTGGCTGCCTTAGAGAAAAATGGTCCCCTGAACCTTCACGCTGCTAATTTTAGCTCAGATGAGATTTTCATAACTTTTTAAGGGACTCAACCAGAGCAACTGTGCTGACAACAAGAGAGAATTAAGTTCTTAGGGCACACGCAAGGTTCTCAAATGTTGGCATCCCAGAGCTGTACAAAAAGCCACACCGCAGCTGAAGTAGAGCCCTATCTTTTGTTTAATTTAAAATTTCTGCCCATAATCAGCTGCTCCTATTACTGAGACACAATAAAGACAGAAATCCTCAAATATCCCTTGTATTCAGAAATTCAAGCTGGCATGTTATAACCCCTCTGGATTTCTCCAAACCACAGGCCCAAGGAATTCAAGGCTGMACATTCACATGTATTTACACATGCCTTGCCTAAAAATGTGGAAAACACATCACAAAAGGACTCCTTTTTAAGCATCTGCCCTCAAACTCATGTCAAGGAGGATCAGCTGTCAGACTGCCAGCCTCAGCAGACAAACTGGCTCCCAAAGATACCTTCCTCCGGCTCTGCAGCCAGGCTCAGTCTGGGATTTTGCTTCAATGAGGACACACTTCTGTTGGTATTTCAAGGCTTTCACGCTTATTTCTTTATCCAACCATTGAACTACARGCAGAAAAAAGAGCATTTCTCAAAGCCCTTGTTCCCAACTTCTGTACAACAACCTCTGCCATTCCCTTCTGCATCCCCATCTTCCAGAAGAGAAATCTCTCTTTTGCCATAAGACAATTTCTCATTAAGGTCCAATCCAAGCGGGATTAGACCCCACAAAAGCCTCCTGGTCATCCTGTGAAGCTGATTGCTACAAGAAACCCTATTTCGTTATCACACTGTAATTTATGGAGCTCAGTCCTGGGTTTTTACCCTCGCTCCTCAGGCTGGCAGGCTGTCTGCGATCCTTACACCTCTGATGGTTTCACACCTCTTCCAATTTCCTGCCTGAATGCATTTGGAGACAGTTTATATCTACATCCTTGGGTCAAAGCTGGAACTTTGATAACTGCTCTTCCCCTTCTAATGGACAGGAGAGGGATCATAACCCTTCAGTTTGCGAGGCTGGACAAACCAAGCTCAAGTAGGCTCCTCAATAAAATAGTATTTCCAGTGTCCTTCCAGTTTATACCCCTCTTTCTTGAGCAGAGATGTCATACATTTCAGTTGGTTTTCCAKGTAAGTTTTTATCATACCTTAATGCAGGGTTGCTCTCATTTTCTATATTACAATCTTAATCCCTGTGTTATATTTATAAATATATTGCATTTATGGCTTTTAAGTAAAGCCCTTTGCAGTCTTACACTGATGAGCCATAACATAAGGGATAACTTCCAGCTCCACTCCTCATTGCAATGTTTGGATCAGCATCTGTGAACACAGGGCCAATGCYTTTTTTGCCTTCAGCAGTTGGCATTGAGTAACCAACACAATTTTCACAGGTTACAGGTASCCCAGACCAGCTGATGCCTGAGTTTGTGTCCAGAAATACAGCGAGACCTTATRGGTTTGAGTCTATTCCCCTGTAGAYGACAATAATTTGAGCTTTGGGTTGAAGAAACTCTCCAAATACTGAAATGACCTGTGAACTCTGCCAAAAAACGATGTCACRTTTGCAGGCCAGCTCCTCCCCACTGAAATCCCGTAAATTGCTGTGTTGAGTGAGACGTGAGCGCTGTCTCCCAAGCACAGCGAGGTAGGAAGGCTGCCGTCCAAGTATAATAAGAAAATTGCCTTAGCCTTTCAGGGGAACACTTACCTCCCCAGTTCATATGCTGCATAGAGATTTTAATAAAGTAGAATATTGCAGAAAAAGTTGTTTCATTTCATCTGCTTCACTTAAAAAAGTAAAAAAAAAAACCCAGTGAAATAGCAGAAGGCAGAGAAAAATTCCCTTCCTGCAAATGTGTATTTTCAGCCCAGCCTGACAGCGGTGCCCTCAGCCAGAGCAGAGCCCAGCAGCTCCTCCATGGCAGGCACAGCCTTGCAGAGGCTCCACATCATGTGCACAAACCTCACTAAAGGACCAGAAAGCAACACGTCTGCCTGTGCACTTACACTGCCCCAATGTGCTGCTGCAGAGGCATCTCCTACCCCCATGGGAGGTAAACGGCCCCTCCTGCACTGTGGGGCATCCCCAGCCATGGGACAACCATTCCATGATCCCATGAAATTCAGKACACTGCTCTTCACCCAGGGACAATCCCCAGCCCTGCACTGTGSCTCCTGCACAGCCCAGGGAAGTCACACCTCGCTTTTGTCACCTCAGTGGCTCATCTAACACGTGAAAAGCCATGAAAGAGCTGGCAGATGAGCTCTGCTGGACGGATTTCAGTGCCTGTCTCTGGCTCTGCTTACGCTGCTCTTCATCTCCATGGTGATTAGAGACAGGTCTGAAGTGGCAAATTTGCTGAAAGGCCCAGCCATGCAGACTGAGGAGCGTAACGAGAAAACGAGTGTTCGGATCGAGCAGCCCCATGACCTCTGCAAGAAATAGAGGCTGGAAGAACCTAGAAATACATTAACCTGGGTAATGTATGRGATGTCAGTAGCCACTGATAGTGATAATGGACTTCTATTTCCTCCTGAGCATCCCAAACTCCCTGATGTCACACTATTTATTAAAGAGCACCTGAGCGATCAAAGAAACACACAGGTCTCCCGGAATTATCACAACCATAYTGAAAATGAGTTTTAATCACTGTCCGTGCCTCGAAGTGCTCATTAGAGACATGCCTACCTGGGCAGGTGCCATTGTCACTAAATACCTGTATTTCCAGCCAAAGCTGCAGGAACACAGGGCAGCTCGGGCTCCAGAAGCTGCCGACACGCCTGGACAGAAAACAGCCATGAGAGCAGGTGGCACCAACTGGGGCACTGTCCCCAACAGGACCCCCAAACCCGACTGGTTCATGTCACTACAGCATGAAGGACCAGCAGAGCTGCTCCAGGACCATCTGCATTTCTCCACACACCACGTCCTGTACCTCCTGCGAGGCAAAAAGGGAGCCTCTGACATAAGGAAGATGACAGAAAACAAGGCTGCTGCCTGATTTGCACGCTTGGATGGCAYCGAATGAAACACACGGCGCTGTGGAGTTTCTGAGCCAGGCTTATAAAGATGAGGGAAAAAAAAAAAAAACAAGCCACCAAACAACTGGATTTTCTCTAATCAGACAGATAATATTTACAGCCTACGGGTGGTGCCAAAATATTTCAGGAAATGCCTAAGCCGGTCTGAATAAAAGCTCAGGAAAACACAGTATTTAAGGACAGCAACTCTAGCAGCAAGAATGAAAGCTTTCCACCCTCTGCCAGCCTCCTCACACAGTTTAAAATGATTGCCATATCATATCATACTGCAATTATCAAGGCTAAGCTCATTTTGCAATCTCCGCTGCAAATTAAGTTCTGAGTTGAACATATAAAAGACCAGCATAAAAATCAAAGGATTCATGTAAACTGCAAGGAGCAGAACCAAGGCACGCTGTGCACAGACAGCACACTGAGGTCTAATCCACCCCACTCAATCCTGCACCGAGAGACCTGAGCTTCATTTAAGCTACTCCTTCCAGTAAGGCATAAACACTATGCTTGAAAAACCCAAACCACAAAGCTTTTGGCCCGTTTTTCAGAGTAATCTACCAGCTTTGACTGTCTGCCCTGGACTTACCGCGGAGAGGACAGAACACAAGCACTGAGTCCCTGGGAAACGTTGGAGTTCCATCGCTTTTTTCCCAGTGAAATATTAGATACGTCTGTATCTTTTCCCTCGCACAACCACAACAAATCCCATCCTGGAGGTATTTTGTTTCCCCCCTCTCAATTACCAATTACATCCACAGACGCAGAAAACCACAGGTCCTGCAAGGACCACGTGTCTGTTTTGTCCTGTTTGTGCATTCAGACCAGACCTGTCTCTGCAAGTCTCTCAAGCACACCCAGAAACAGCCACGTGCAACAAGTGCTYGCACCCCTAGGAGAAAATTCAGGGRAACTATTTCCAAAGAACGTGCAAAACCAATTATTTTCTGGTAACTGGGTGGTGCCATCWTTACCTGCTCAGGCTTCAGGCCGGGGGGGACCCAGGCGTACTCCTCCAGGGCACAGCCCGARTCGTCGTCAGAAGTCGAATTCCTCTGGAAGTCAAACATGAGCTTCGTGACTGTCTTCTCCATCTCCAGAGGCATTACTGTTACGATGTGCTCTTCCTGGGAGCACTTACAGTGAAGGCAAATCTTCCTGCAARGAGAGGAAAGAGAAAAGGAGATGCCCCAGTGAGCAGCGCTTTAAATTAAAGAAAGCAATCCCAGCCAGTTGCTGGCCTGCAGAGACTGAACTCAACCCTTTCTTACACTCCAGCATTTTCTAACACAGGATCTGTCTCTCTTATGGGGAGGAAATAAAAGTCCATATTTGCTGTAACAACGCTTGGCAATCCATCTGAGTCAGACTGTCCAATGCTTGGGGATATGCAATAAAATGTCCCTTTACTRCACCCCAAAGAGTATTTCCAGGGGCCAGCACAGGCACAGGCTGTGCACCTGCCTGGTGGGGGCTGACATGCCAGCCAGAATTGCAGAGTCATTACCCAATTTAGAACAACTGAACACTTCACTAAAGTGGGAAATGGTGGATTGACTGGGAAGCTGTGAATGACAAGTCCCTTTAGCATGCTGATAGCATAAATTTGCTTATTAAAGTGGCATAAAAATTGATTACAGTCTGAACATATAAAGCTAAATTAAATTAAGGGAGGCTACAAAACCCACAGTCACACAGCAATGGAATCTCAACCACCCGGCTGGGTGGCACACACTGCAGCTCAGCAGCTCGGGGAGAAAGCACAAGAACTCAAAGAACAGCCCATAGGTTGCAATTCAACAGCCATTAGCTTAATTCACTGCAAACATCACTTATTCTCAACACTTCTTTAAAGGGGCTGCTCCTGCAGCTCATGGCCTGTGTCAGGTTTTCTTCACAGGCTTGAACCTGAACTTTTATCTGCAGGGCTGCAAGSACAGCACAGAATCAYAAAATGGTTTGGGTTGAAAGGGACCTTAAAGATCATTCAGTTCCAWCATCYCCTGCCAGGGRCAGGGACACCTTCCACTAGACCCAACTGCTCAGAGCTCYATCCAGCCTGGCCTTGAACACTTCAATGGATGGRACATCTACAAGTTCTCTGGGTAATCTGTGACAGGGCCTCACCCCTCTCAGAGTGAAGAATTCCTTCCTAATATCCAATCTAAACCTATTTTGTTCCAGTTTAAAGCCATTCCCCCTTGTCCTATCACTTTATGCCCTTGTAAAAAGTCCCTCTCCAGCAATCTGGCAGGCTCCTTGAGGTACTGAAAGGTCACCCCAGAGCTTTCTCCAGGCTGAATAATCCCAATTGTCTCAGCTTTTCCTCACAGGAMAGGTGTTCCATCCCTCCAATCATCRCACCCCTTCRCCAYGGTAACAGCAAAGGACAAACYTGGCTGAAAACACACCCCAACAAAGAAAAAGAGGTTAAAGGGAATGCTGATAAATTGGCTTCTATTTCTGAAAACTGAATGCTCTTTCACAGGCTGGGTCAATGGTATCTATTTTAAAACAACCACACAGGATTCTGAATTAATTTGCACTAATGAAGCACCACTGACTTCTGAGGAATGAGATAAGGTTTCACTTGGGTAGCAGAAGGGAGACATCTCAGAAATAATAAGGTACCACACAGAAAGCAAGGGAGCAGTTGCCACTGCAGGTTTCTGTGCTCKGAGGTAAAGCGAAGAAATTCAGAGGGAAGCAATAGTTAAACCCGGGGGCTGGAATTTTTAAACACCTTYCCTTCTCTCTCACTGCTGTGTACAAGCCAGCTAAGCATAGCAGTGCTCGGATCCAGCTTCAAGTCTAAATTTCCATTTGGCCATTACAGCACAAAAAATGCACTCTAGCAAAAGTCAAGAGGCTCCGTTAAGTCAAGCCAGGGAGATTTGCCAGATTTTCCCATTTCCTGCCTTTCATCAGATTTAAACCACACAGCAACCCCCACACACCCCAGCGTCTGGTTTGCGTCCAGTCGGGGAGTCTCGGCATCGCCTCTGGCTGTTTCCTTAAAAAATAATCAAGGTACCATTTCATGTGAATACTTTAATTAATCAGCTACCGTGGAAGGGCGTGGAAGGGGCACTCTGCCTTCAGCAAAGTCATTGGTATCGTTGCTGTTTCCATCTCATTTTACGCTACGATTAAAAGCAGCTCAATAGGCAACAAGATGTTAAGAATAATTCATAGATCCCCAGATTTGGCACTGGAGATAGTTATTCTAAGGGAGCTCAGGATTTAGCCAAATTTTGACTTTAGGGATATTGATCACGAGCTTCAAAAAGGGACAAACCCAAAAGTCTTCTGGGAGGATGAGCATTCCAACAGGGAAAAAGCCATCTCAGACTCCTTCCTCCTTCCCACTCCAGACACATCCCCTTCAGGAGATGGGAGATGGCAGGGAAGCATCAGAGGTTTTGGCTTTTAATGAATGAGATAAATCAGGACTTGTAATAACAAAGAATGAATAGGTGAGATGTATGATCAGTCAGACCTCAGAGGTCACTCCCACCCCTCCACACCACACAAGCCAGGAGCTTGAGGACTGGATTGGGTAGCTCATTTACCCCAGCCTCCCTCCTGCCCCATCCCAGGCAAGCGAGTACTGCCCGTGAGTGGCCTCCCCACTCAGAAAAGCAGAAGATGAAAACAACACATKCAGCTGTATACTCAGTAGTGATGTCCCCAAGCCAGGACAACTCTGCACCATTAAAACCTGACCATCTSCATGCCACCTCCCTGGGCAAACTGCACAAAAATCAACTTCTTGCCTCTGGGATATTCAGCTTTTTTTCCCCTCATTAAAAGCAGATGATTAACAGCTTTAATTACAATTTTCTTTACATTAGGATATGTTGTTTCATGGGAACAATACTGAGTGTCCTAGGAGTGTCTTTCCACTTCTGTGATCAGGTTTCCATGACTTCTTCACATAGGTCTCACTTACTCAACTTTATTTTATCATCTTCCAGCACACTATAATTAAAAATAAATCCCCATAGTAAAAATTTAATATCAAAATGTACATTTCAAATGTGAGATGAAATTGAAAAAAAAGCCAGTTTTCCCCTGCTGCCCTCGGTGCAGAGCAGCACAACGCGAGACGACGTACGAGTCAGTGCTCACCCGTGCCTGCAGTGACCACGGTGACAATGTGGGTGCCACTGCCATGGCAGAGAGCTGGTGGGTGCTGGAGAGGAGCAGGGCCAGCTGGCAGCCTGCCTGGCTGTTCCTCGTTAGTCAGCACCATGGGAAGCACGGCACAACCTGGAGATGCTCAGCACATGGCTGTRTCACACACCTTGCACAGCCAGGGTGCTGCAGCACGGGTGGGGGGCACCTCTTCCCAAAGGAAACCTCTCAGCTCGGCTTGGCTGAGCCTCMCCACCACCAAAACCTCAGCATCAACAACCCCTGCTGCCTGTGCAGCCCTGCAYGACTTCAGAAGAGCGCAGGCAGCTGGGTTTTTTAAAGCAAGAATAAATTAACACCGATCACTGTCTGGAAATCCCATCTYCATTCACGAGCCTTTCCATCCTGCTCTCATCCCAGGTCTGCAAGTTTGTCTCGGGGAAAAACCTGCCCTGGCGACTCAGAGACATCACCAGCACCAGGGAGGGAACAACGCAGCAAGGATGGCTGACAGCACGACTGGCTTTGGGCACGGAGGGTAAATAAAGGAGCTTTTAAGCAGCTGTAGCTCATGGGCAGGGGGGAGAGGGGAGCGGAGGCAGCCAGGCTGCTGCGGGAGGCACGGGCTGGGGAGCACCGGCGGGGCTGGGAGGCACCGAGCTGTGCACAGAGCTGTCCTGCGGCGGGGCCAGGGCGGCGGGAAGCAAATGGGGAGAAAAAAGAACATTTCCTGGTGTCAGATTTAGCTGGAAAGGAGCCTGCCTTGAATTGACTTCACATGGTACGARGCAGCAACGGCGCAAAAACAGACTGAAAAATTTCTTCTCCTCCAGGCCAGYGAAGTTACAAGATGGATGTGTTTTATTTTGCATTGGCTGCTTTTACGTGGTGCTCCCGGAACAAGTCCTCCTCAGAGACTTTAAGCCCATTCCTGATCCTATCCTTACCCACACCTTGGTGCCCGAGGAAGGTGCAAATAGATCCACCACCCCAAGCCAGCTCTTTTCGCTCAACACGGGGAATCTGAAGCAAACAGGACCCCACACACCAAGCAGAGAACCTGGCTTCCAAGCCCCTCTTTTTTGGGATGCAGAAGCGCACTCCCAGCTCCGGTCCACCTACGTAGATCCTGACACAAAACCAATTGACCCGAGAGGTCTCTGCGATGAGGCAGCCCCTTGTTGTACATCCCTGTTAGCAAAGCACAGCCTCTGCCATCTCTGGRGCCTCCCACAACCCTTTCATCTCAGCAATGGCACCGACAATAAGCTAAACCACGCTGAAAACACCAGTGCTGTGAGAGAGGCTCTGGAGAGAGGTGTGAGAGTGACCCCAGCTTTCTGAAGAGAAATGAGGTCTCCCTGCTGTGAAAARCCAGCAGACTCCAAATGGGGAAAGCACAAGCAGAGCAAAAAAGTCAAGAAGGAGAGATGGAGGGCAACCTGGCACCAAGGCAAAGGAGGTCCTTGCTAATGATGTGTCCAGCAAAGAAGAGAAAGAGCCAGGAGCAGCCTCTGTTGTCAGCTTCTGGGGTGGCACAGGCAGGATGGGGCTCTCTAGGATGCTGAGGGCAGCTCATCCCAGCCTGCAGGTGAAACTCCTGGCCACAGGGCTCTTCCAGTTTGGTGGATGTGCATGCACATCCTAATGCAGCAAACAGCAACAAGGCAAAGCCTGCCCAGGCTGGGATCCGCAGATATTCTGAGGAAGGGCAGCCCAAGAGCCCAACCCCTCCCGGCAACAGCAGGAATGAAGGCAGAGTTTAAAATTGTGGCAGAAATGTTAAAATTCCTCTCGGACAAAGAAGGAACTCGGTAAACAGCCCTTATCACCCAGCAGCGCTGCTTATCTCTGCTTCTCACTTGTTTCTTCTGGGATGGAAATAAATGGGCTGCRTCAGGGAGCAGCTCCGGCTCYAGACAAAGCGAGAAGCAGGAATGCCACGGCCGTGCAGGGCCATGAGATGCCTCTGCTGCGCTCCCTAAAACAGGATTTGCATGCAYTTGTGCCCACATTAACAT